TTTACTTACGCTCAAACACGCTTTCGGTTCGCATAAGTCATACGGGTAAACTATTCTAACTTCTGTGTTTCCCTCACATTTGCTTTCGGCTTTTCTGTGTGTTCACGTATAATCCTTTCATGAATTATATTCACCATTTCATGTGTATATAACGTTCGGTTAAAGAATTGCTTGCTTAAATAGATTATTTTGATTACTTTTAAAATATTGTCAGTATTGTATTACGTCCACAAATCAAGTCCACTTCTCTGTATATACCATTTGACTCCCACGCTTTCAGGGGTCTGCGTTACTTATCCATTTATACAAATGGACTCAGCCTATGTTACAAGCCTCACTTCTGGGTTATTACTACAACACATACAAAGGATATAGGTTCATTTAAGCAATAATTCTCGGGTTGATACGTCTTTTCTATACAAATATATCATATAGATATACATCACTTTACAACATTTTAAATCATTTTGGGGTATCCCTGCCTTTGGTTATTCTGCTACATATCATACATAACGCTGTGTTAAATAGGCCATGACCTCATCCATGTCCCTTTCTATAAAACCAGTTACATTTCTGTACAGATCATTGAAACTCCCACGCCAGGAGTTTTATAACTATCCATTTCATTTCAATTCACTTAGCCTATATTACAGGCCTCATTTCTCTGTCATGACGATGACACATAAGGCTTAATTCCTTTTTCATGCATACTCGGGTTGAATCACACGTACTGATCCAACCAATCATACGTTCCCTGCACAGTCATATACATATGTATATAACCTACGTTTCATGTTTTCCTTTACACACCATTATCACGTAACACATAGATTGTTGGTACATAGGCCACGGCCTCCCTCAGATGTCTTATTCAAGCATGCAAACATTTCTGAGCCACTCATAGCTATTCCCATGGTATCAACATAATTTTATACATTACTGCTACAGACTATAAGTCTGGTTCTTTTTACACCCCACACTCATCGTACTACTCTCTTTTACCCATTTTTAGGCTGTCAAGCTTATATAATTGCTCCACACGGTTTATTCCTGTGATTTGTCATACTACCAGGTACGTACACCTGCTCGTTGGTCTAGGGGTATGATTCTCGCTTTGGGTGCGAGAGGTCCCGGGTTCAAATCCCGGACGAGCCCAAGCATTCTGTGTTTTCAGGAAGTATTACTTTACTGAGAGGGTAGTGGATGCATGGAATAGCCTTCCAGCTGAAGTGGTAGAGGTTAACACAGTAAAGGAGTTTAAGCATGCATGGGATAGGCATAAGGCTATCCTAACTATAAGATAAGGCTGGGGACTAATGAAAGTTTTTAGAAAATTGGGCAGACTAGATGGGCCGAATGGTTCTTATCTGCCGTCACATTCTATGTTTCTATGTTTCTATGTTTCTCATATGGTATTCTACCATACATTTCATTTCATCCCCCTAGTTTAGAGTACTGGCAATAGGGTCACAGGATTCCCAATAGGTATTTACCCCGTCTTGGCTGTCGCCATCAGTTAGTGGTCCTGCGAGGCCAACACCCCGCCTCAAACGTTTCGGAGGCAAACACCCATCGGGCCACACGTTAGCTAGCCACCTCGCATGTTGCAAAGAGAGGGCCTCACCTGTCACTCCCTTCCCCTGTTTTCCGTCGTACAGTCACCGAGAGGCCTAAAACTCCTGCCACTGCGTCAAGTGGCCTCAATAACCCCTCGCACCAACGCATAGATAGAGCCTCTCAAGCCGCTTGGCAATTAGCAGGGCCTCACCTGTCACCAAACAAGTATAATACTTTCGCCATCCGGCCTAGCTAGCCTGCCAGTACAATTTGGTGGTTCTATATACCAATTATTGTTTTATTTGTAGTATGTCTCAGGAAGGGGTAGAGGATTTCTCCCTGCCTAGCACCCCGGCTAGAGCTGTCACTCCCACACAAGGAGGAGAGCTAGCTAGTCCAGCATCAATCAGATCCTGGACAATCCCGTGCATAACCATGGAATTAAGGAGACGACAAATCCCCTACCCCGCTACAGCAAGGAAGGCAGAACTTTTCAAACTGCTACGCACATCAACTAATAACATGGAGGCCGGGGAAGGATCTAGCCAGTCCAACCCAGGGGACATACATGCCATGTTATCTTCACTCATGACATCCATGGGCAAGGTCAACTCCAGGCTGGAGAAACTTGAGTCGGTCACCACGGCCCTCACTCTAGCAGGTCCACCCGCGGCGGCAGTACAAACACCAGCCTTGCCATTAGTCGCTCCAGCCAGCACCCTGGATGACCAGGAAGTTAGCCCGGCCCACATGATACCTGAGCATATCAAAAGGGATATCCTGAAAGGTAAAGACGTCAACCTGGCTTCCCTGTTGATTGCCTCCCAGGACATTGTGGAAAATAAGACGTATGCTTATGATGATGTTTCTGTTATTGTCAGATCTAGGGATGCCCGCCTTAACAGGAAACTGACTATCCCAGAATTTGTACTAGCGTTTGGTATTTACAGGCATGTCATCTGTGCGGTTTATCCCAACAGAAGAGAGGAATTTGATCTCTATATACACAAGCTGGTAGACCTGGGCAACAAATATGGTGGTTCGGCATTCTATGACTACCATAGGTCTTTTTCTGCAAAAGTGGCTGGAGCCTTCTCCCAGTACGGAACGCGATCCAACTGGGGAAGGATTGATACCGTCTTATTTTGCAGACACTTTGCAGGTCTAAGAACACCAGCTTGTGCATACTGCTCCTCCACAGCCCATACTACTAATTTTTGTCCCAAAACGGCAGACGGACATGCCTCCACACAAGGAACTAGTTCCTCTGGGGATCCAGGGAAACTATCAAAAGACAAATTGGGATGCCCAATCAAGTTTCTGGGCAAGTCCCAGATATGTAATAATTTCAATGTTGGGTCTTGTAATTACAGTGGATGTAGACTATTGCATGTCTGTTCAAAATGTTTTAGGGCACATGCAAAGACCATGTGTCCAAATAAAATGTATTCCAAGCTTTACCTTACGTCCATTAATATGCCAGTATTCACAGCATTGATGTCTCAGCACCCATCTAGACACCTGGTAGACTTTCTTATTTCTGGTTTAACAGAAGGCTTCCACACAGGTATCCTACACATACCAGCTGGAACTCTGGAAAGTCCTAACCTACAATCCGCCCAACACAACCCCACAGTGGTTGACACCCTCATAGCCCAAGAAGTGGGTGAGGGCTTTGTATTGGGGCCTTTTAGAACTCCTCCATTCACAGAATGGCGCACCAACCCTATTGGTATTGTCACAGGGAAATCTTCCCAAAAACAGAGACTCATCATTGACTTATTGGCTCCCCACTCATCGGCCAACCCCAGTCTTAATTCCCTCATACCCTCTGAGGAATTCTCTCTGCAATACACCACCATAGATCACGCCATTACAGCTATCATACAAGCAGGAGTTGGAGCCTGGCTCAGTAAGACCGACATTACTAACGCCTTCAAATTACTCCCTATCCACCCCACACTGTGGCACCTGCATGGCATCAAGTGGTCCGGGAACTACTATTTTTCTCCCGGTTAACTTTTGGGTCCAAAAGTAGCCCAGCTATTTTCGACACATTTGCTGAAGCATTATGCTGGTTACTATTGAACATAGCCGGATGCCCTACGGTATTACATTGCTTGGACGATTTCCTACTGGTCGAGGAGAATACTGCACCTCCCACTAGCCTCAAAGCTACCACTAAGCTGTTTGAGCAACTAGGTGTACCCATCTCCCCAAAGAAAACAGAAGGGCCAGACACGGTTATCACTTTTCTGGGTATCCAATTAGACTCTGCCACAATGCAAGCAAGCCTACCATACGATAAGATAGAGAATATTCTCACTTACATAAACAACTACCTACAGCTCGGCACTTGCAACCGCAAAGAGCTACAGTCCCTGCTAGGGTCACTAAATTTTGCGATGCGCATCATACCTCAAGGCCGCTCCTTTATTTCACTACTATTGCACCTTTTCCCACTTTTTCTACATGACACACACAGGTTGTCCTTAAATGCCCAAGCTATGGCAGATCTAAACATGTGGAAGAGATTTTTAACCACTTGGAATGGTAAAAGTATGTTCCTCCCTCAATTGACTGAATCATCTCCTACCATTTGGTCAGATGCGGCATCTACCACTGGTTTTGCAGCAATTTTTGGGAACGAATGGCTTTGGGGCAGCTGGCCTTCAGCAGTTCAGGATTTGGAAGTTTTTTTCCACTACCTCAGCTCTTTTTGAGATCTACCCCATAGTGGCGGCTGCCGTAGCGTGGGGTCATTTATGGGCTAATATGCCAGTGCGTTGTTACTCAGACAACCAGGCAACCTGTCACATCATCAACAAAGGTCGTTCCAAATCTCTTACGATCATGAGATTTCTGAGGAAACTCACTTGGTTGGCAGCTTGTCATAATTTTTTCCTATGTTGTTTCCATGTGCCAGGTGTATATAACACAGCTGCTGACAATTTGTCTCGCTTTAAATTTCAGGAGTTTCATCAAGCACTCCCGTCAGCAGCACCCACAGCCACCATCACTCCAACATTTCAACAACTCATACTGGACTAGACGTCATCATGCAGCATAGCAGGACATTGTCCCAGTTGGCACTTTCAAACAATACAAACAAAACATACAGCAGGGCTTTCACACTATTCAAACGATTCCTTCTGGAACATAACATCATACAACCGTTTGTTATGACATCTTTTTGGGGTTTGCTTCCTTTTGCCACCTTAAACTCAAAATGTCATACAACACCATCAAACTCTATCTCACTGGCATTCAACACCACATGCTCATCTTACACCCAAATAACAACAGTTTCATGGCCTCTCACCAAATTAAGACCATACTCAGAGGTATTCAAAATCAGAACCCACACATTTGGCCCAGAGGCTACCCATAGATAACCATATCTTCAAAGCATTATCTAACCTACTTGACCTAAAACCGTTTGACACTAATACAAATTCTATCATCAAAACAGCAATATACATCGCTTTCTATGGATTTCTACGACCCAGAGAATTCACTACGACCTCCACGACCCAAACCACTCCATTCCTCCTCTATTCCCACTTGACAAAACATATGGATCATTACATCCTGTCTTTACCTCACTCCAAAACCAGCCAGCACATACCTGTAAACATTCCGTACTATCCCACGCACAACAGATGGTGTCCCGTCAAGGTTCTTGATGCCTACATACAGCACCATCACTTACTGCCCTCGCAACCGTTATTACAACTACAAGGTGCAGTACTCACCACTACAACCTTCATGACCTACGTCAGGTCCTTGCTCACACAACTGGGCCTCAACGCAAACAAATACTCAGGACACTCCTTTCGTATAGGAGCCGCGTCCACAGCCTCCAGTGTCAACATCCCAACTCATGTTATCAAAACACTGGGGCGCTGGAAGTCATCCGCTTACTCACGGTACATACCGAACCCAGTACAAGAATTAAGGGATGCTTTCATAAACATGTCTGGTTGATAAATGTATATGTATTGGTTGTCTGTTAATAAATTTGATTACTTAATTTTTGCCCTCTTCTTTCTCAGGCCTACCTCATCGTCGGTTTCGGCACACCACAACCGACTTGCTCCTTTTATCATCCTACGCTTATTCATGGTATTTCATACTGTACTATCTAAGCACCTAACACAAATAGGTATATATATATATAGTGATATATACGTATATATTTATTATTTCGTTCTACGTGTATTTTGATATATATATATATATATTAATATCACAATACAGTTAGAATGAAATAACACACATCTATATATTTTTTTAATTAATTTTTTTAATTATTTTTAAAAATTTTATTTTTTAACGTATTTACATATTATTTTTTTTATATTATATATAAATATATATATATATATAAAACAATTATATATATTTAATCAGTATCAGTCTACGTGTAATTTGATATTAATATATATATATATATATATATATATATATATATATATATATATATATATATATATTAATAGTAAAAATACACCTAGACAGTGTATGTGTGTGTATGTATATGTGTGTGTATGTATATATATATATATATATATATATAAATGGGCTACCAAGTATCCATTTTAATTCACCTATCCACTAAACAGCAACTTCAATGTTGAAAGATTTTATTTGTTTTTAAAAAACACCTAATCTAGGCAAAAATAATGGGGGTTTAGTTACATTATATGATCATACATTGCATAAGCCTGCCACAACGTCAATGTACCCCATCTTTGGCAGGTCCTACACTAACAGCCTAATGTCTGCTCTTATGAGATTAACCTACTTGGGGAAAGAAATTCCATCTGGGCTCTCTGCAGTACAAGGCTAAATATGGCCCTGGGATGAGGCACCTGTGACAGGGAGGGGTGCAAAACCAAGGAGTTGGCTAGACTCCCAAATATATACATATGAAACAAGGGGGGGTTGGCTGCACTCACCTGAACATGCATAAATGGGGGTGCTGCTGGGGGCCAAATAATACAAAACACAAGATCCAGCGCACCCACCTATCCACTAAACAGCAACTTCAATGTTGAAAGATTTTATTAGTTTTTTAAAAACACCTAATCTAGGCAAAAATAATGGGGGTTTAGTTACATTATATGATCATACATTGCATAAGCTCAAGCCAACGCCAATAAAAATTCCCATCTTGGCAGGCTGTCCTACACCAACAAGCTTCCAATGTCTGCTCTTATGAGATTAACCTACTTGGGAAAAAATTCCATCTGGGGCTCTCTGCAGTACAAGGCTAAATAGGGCCCTGGGATGAGGCACCTGTGACAGGGAGGGGTGCAAAACCAAGGAGTTGGCTAGACTCCCAAATATATATAAAACAAGAGGGGGGTTGGCTGCACTCACCTTAACATGCATAAATGGGGGTGCTGCTGGGGGCCAAATAATACAATACACAAGATCCAGCGCACTCACCTATCCACTAAACAGCAACTTCAATGTTGAAAGATTTTATTGTTTTTTTTTAAAAACACCTAATCTAGGCAAAAATAATGGGGGTTTAGTTACATTATATGATCATACAGTGCATAAGCCTGCCACAACGTCAATGTACCCCATCTTTGGCAGGTCCTACACTAACAGCCTAATGTCTGCTCTTATGAGATTAACCTACTTGGGAAAAAAAATTCCATCTGGGGCTCTCTGCAGTACAAGGCTAAATAGGGCCCTGGGATGAGGCACCTGTGACAGGGAGGGGTGCAAAACCAAGGAGTTGGCTAGACTCCCAAATATATACATAAAACAAGAGGGGTTTGGCTGCCCTCACCTGAACATGCATAAATGGGGGTGCTGCTGGGGGCCAAATAATACAGTACACAAGATCCA